GATATTTGTTAGTAACTTGTTATGACTAGTAATAATAAGATACATACAGATTAGGGACGCATGTGCCAACATCTCAGTATTATTAGCAAAAACAATGAGTCTTCTGTAAGAAACAGTATATTTTAAAATGAAATGGAGATCTTTTTTTAAAAGGTTAAAAACCTATTCAACCTATTCAATTTTATGTCTTACAGGGCTTATACTGAATTCAATATTGTATAACTGTATTAATTCAACAGCAAACCTAAAAAGTTTATAGCCACTTTTGAAAGGATGTATCTTTGCTCTGGAAACTGTTATTGAGCTGTAATGAAATGCTTCTTCTAAAAAATTTTAAAATATATTAAAATAGAAAATAAATATACTCATTCTCTAATGTCATTATATATTAATTTTTAATTTTTTAAATTATATGTCATTAAGATCAAGAACATTTTCTTTGGATTGCCTTGTATCCTTAGCCTTGAGGGTGCTTGGGATGTAATCAGTAGTCAGGAAAAATATGGAAGAGCAATTGGATTCTCGTTTTTATGTAAAAGGTAAAAGTATGTAATTTAAAATTAGCAGATGATGGCCTGATTTTATGGTCATCGGTGCTTCTAGTAGACTCCTTTATGGACTGTCTGCCCAATTCACTCTCATCCCCTTATTCATGTTGGCAGAGGAATAACATGATCATTAGCAGTTCACATTGGTGATTGGACAATTGCTGGACATCAGATAGAAGCTGGCCCCATCAGAAATCCTCCAAGTATCCAGAATTAAAATCAAAGACTGAGACAAATGATCTTAATGTTGTTACCACTCTGTAACAATCAGGACAAGAAATAATGTATTCTAATAGCTAACAAGAGTCTCATAAATAAACACCAAAAGTTATTTCTTTTTTATAATATCTGCTCTTCTCAGGAAAGTGAGTGGATACTTGACAGCAATAGCTACTCAAGGACACAGGTTGTTGGCACAGGTGTCTTCCTGAATGTTGTCATCACCTTGCCAAAGGAAAGTATGAAGTTTCAGAGAGGTAATAAACCTCTCAGCCCCACAGTCACCTAATATCTTTCCTCTTAACTCATTTTCCAGAGCTATTCCCATTCCCCATCCCTTCCCTACCTCCATACACCTAACAATAACTCAAGTTCAATCCTAACATATTCTAGAAGCAAAAAGTTACAACTATGTATAGAGAAAATTTACATTTAATGATTCCTTAGTCTAACAACATTAATTGCATGAGCCATAAAAGTCATGTAGCCTTTAGATCAAAGAATGATGAAATAGATGTTCAAAGTGATTTATTGTCAAGAGATGGAGAAAAATTTTTGTCTCAGCTCCAAACTTTTTCAGTTCCTATTTTGTGTTAAGGTATGTCTATTTCTGGTCATTGGCATTCCAGATTAACAGTTGTGGGTGGAATGCAATAACTTTGTGATGACTATTTATTTTTGAAGTAGAGATATGTGGTAGGCTGATTGGATGGACAAACGGTACTTGTGGGAGAGTCCTAATTTGGAATTGTGGGCTTAATATTTATCTGCTTATATGTAAATGCATGGAACTGGATGCGATGATCTGTGGAGATTTTGTTTAAAGGCCAAGGATAGTGCTCTACAATACTAGAGAGTTAACAGAGACAGGAGGAGAAGGAATGCTGGATTTCCATTCACTAGATCTTCTGACTGAATCTTTTCCATTCAGGACTCAGCTTGCACATTTCTTTGATGATTCAACCTAATATACTCCCTCTCCTTCATATTTACATTTAATTGTATTGGTTAATTACTTATTATTTACATTATCACTTGTTTATCTACTTTGCCTGTAAAACAGCAAAGATCTTTCTCTCTTGTTCCTGACATGCAGGACAGTATCTGTCATGTTGTAATAAATATTGTAGTATAGATTTATTATCCAAGAAATATTTTGAAACATCTGTTGTAAATATTATAAGCCATGACAGTTACCTATATTCTCAGGTACATACTGCTATAAATTAATACTATCATCCTACCCATAAGCATTTCTTTTTTACTATTATATAGAGAATAGCCACTCAATGTAGTCTAAGGACCACCAGCAGCATGTGAGGGCTTGTTAAAATGCAAATTCCAGGCTCTATCCAAGACATACTAAATTAGAATCTTTGTCTTAACAAACTCTGCAGGTGATTCTAAAATTTAATAAGTGCTAATAAAGGTAATGCTTTAAAAAGATGGCTTCATTTCAAAAGTCTCCAGACTTTCACATAAATGAATACATGCACATGGATTTTAACATTACTTAAAGATTGTAAAAGGATGATTTACAAGAAAATCAGTTTTGATGGGAACTGGAAACTAATGTTAAAAGGGATACAGAAAAAGAAAGAAGATACAAATATTGTGTCAGTCACTTTTCATCACTGTAGTAAAATGCTAGAGAAAATCTACTTAAAAGGTTTATTTTTACTTACAGTTTGAGAAATCTCAGTTCACAGCTTTGACTGTGATGAGGTGGCACATCATGGTAGAGAGCATGTGATGGAGCAAAGTGAACCAGGAAGTAGAGAGAGAGAGAAAGTGAAAGTCTACTGAGAAGATATAAGTCCCTTCAAAGGCACATGCTCAGTGACCTACTTCCTTGGACCAGTCATCGCTTTTGTACAATCTATTCAGATACGACCTTAGCAATGGTCCAATCACCTCCTAGTGACTCCGTTTCTGAACACTGCTACATGAGAAAACCAAGCATTCAACACATGAGCATTGGGGGGAGGGGCATCTTATATCCAAACCACAATGCACAATAGCGCCCCAATTTCAGCTTACCTGGAACACGTACCAAGTGAATTCTGTAGGCTTCAGAGGGCATTCCACCCAATACTTATATAAGTTACAATAGCCATATTCTTTCAGGTATCCTGTGGGTGAAAGAATGATGGCACAGATGCCTAGAGATATTTGAAGTCAAGACATGAAGAAAGAATTTTGCCTCCACTCTCAGTTGTTTTTAAGATTTCATTCACATTTTTCTCTGAGGTCTAGATGCATTCCTGCCCTTGGAGTGTCAGACTAATAGTTCTGAGTGGCAACATACAAGCATAGTTTTACAGCATGCTAGCCATGTATCAGACCCCAGATGAAATAAAGAAGTAGTACTTATTTTCTAATATCTCATGGACTAGGGATGAAAGACTGAACAATAAGTACCCTAGAAGAAGAATGTAAATGGTGATACAGGAGAATAAAGGAGATCTCACCACACATAGAGTCATGAGGTAAAGCCATTTGAAAGAAATCTTGCATCATCTGTTGGAACCAGTGGAGGGAGGTGGCCATGGGAAGGAAAGGAAAAAGAGAAAAGCAACCTAAGCAAAGGGAAAAGTGTGTGAAAATACAACAATTTTATTAGAGGAGCATGACAAATAATTCATAAGTTGCCACAAGTAACCTTAACCTAGCTCTGCCAACTGACCTTGGGCAAGTTACATAGTTCTCCACTCCCCATTTTACATTGTAGGTAAAAGAGAAAAGCAACCTAAGCAAAGGGAAAAGTGTGTGAAAATACAACAATTTTATTAGAGGAGCATGACGAATAATTCATAAGTTGCCACAAGTAACCTTAACCTAGCTCTGCCAACTGACCTTGGGCAAGTTACATAGTTCTCCACTCCTCATTTTACATTGTAGGTAAACAGATAATGGGTCTGGAAAGACTGCTGTTGCTTTAAAGACTGAACCTCTGATTACTTCTGGCATAGGCTTAGTGAATCAGAAACATAAATCACCCAGGACAATGCATCACAGGTGCATATGCAAGAATTGAAAGAAATGCTTTTAATGCATTTCTGTCATGCATCCTGTGGATAAAAGAATGATGGAACAGATACCCAGAGAGATGTAGAGCTAAGAGATGAACAGAGAATTGTACCTCTGCTCCTAGTTGTTTTTAAGATACCATTTCCATTTTGCATTGAGGTCTGGATGCACTCCTGCTCTTTGAGAGGCAGATCAACAGTTCTGAGTGGTAACATCAGCATAGCATTAGTGATGGGAAATGTCCATATATTGAACTGTGTGTGAGAGACACCACCTTGTACATATCATACACTGTCACTGTAATGTAATCATTTATTTTATGTATTTGTTTATATCTCCATTCGATATGACCAACCTACCTGGAACTTGTGTCAAAAGAATTCTGCAAGCTTCAGAGGAAATCCCATCCATTGAAATGGTATATTTAAAAATTAGTTCATTAGAAACTGCTAGCACAATGAATGGCCTTTTTTCTCCATTCTTTAAATGTTACCTATTGGATTTGGGGTGTAGAACTGACAAGAAGAGTGATGAAGCCGTTTAGCAGTCTATATTCAACAATTGGTTACATGGTGGCACTTATCACTGAAGTCCTAAACACAATGATGCTTCATGTGTGGGTGAGAATCACTATCATTTTGCTGTTTCTCCTGGCCATAAGACTGTCATATTCACTACAGTGATACATGCTCATCGCCTACAGTGTGCCAGCTGCTGAGGCTACAATGGTCACAAGACAGAAGTAATCTTTATTTTAGAGTTATGGAGTGTGGTTAGTTGGAAGTATCTGTGGAATAGGCGGTTTTGGCATTATCCTAAAGTGCAGGGTATCGTGAGGCTGAATACTAACACTAATATGATTTAACTGATAATCAACTTTTATGTGTACGTGAGAAAAGAAAGAAAAGAAACCGGTGATGGAAGAAATTTTACTGTAAAAGTGGGCAGATATAGAGAACAAAGGAAAGGGACGTAAGAAGAGGGAAGACAGGAGTGTAACAGAGAGAAAACAGACAATGGAAAGCTAATAAACCTCAAATGAAATTACAAGAACCCTCTACCTTCCAGCTATCTCGCGGGAGCTGGAACACCTGCCCCCAAGCTATTAAAACACTAGCACCACTGATCCCTGACCTCAGTGCGTTCTAAAGGCGCCAACTTCCGGGAGCAATATGAGGCGCCTTGCTGTGACGTCGGGAGGAGGCGGGATTTCCGGTCCTGGTGACGCCTTGCTAGGACGTCTCCTGACAGCTCGGTGTGTCTTGCCGGCAGACAGGTGAGGTGCTAGTCCGTACACTCTGGGTAGCTTTCTCTGTGGAAGTACAGGCGAGCCCGCAGGCCGGGAGGTTTCCTCTCCGCGGTGCGGCGTCTGCTGCCCTTGACCGGGTGACCGCGGTGATAACCGATGCTGCCAACACAGCAGACCGGCAGAGCCGCGGGGCTGCTGGGGCTTCCCCGAGCACGCCGGGAGCGCTGGATGCCACCAGCCCCGGAGGAGGGCTCCAGCGGTTCCCTGGGAAAGGATGAACCTGGGTGTTGGCAGCCGAACTGCAACAGTGACTCCCTGGGATCAAAGTCTGCTCTGGGGTGTGCTTGGCAGCATACATCCAAGGTTCCCGCTGCTTTTCATTAAGTGTTCCGGCGGCGTTCTTTGTAAACTCTCCCTTGAGAGTTTCTCCTTCCCTTAAGTCAGGATACAGGTTGAGACAGTTCTTCCGTGATCATTAGTTATTTCTTCCTTTCTCAAGTTATTACCGGACACCTGCTCTGTGTTGTGTATTCCAAACACTGGGAGAATTTACAGTCCAGAATCTAAACCCACACGTCCTTGCACTTTTAGTTTTAAAAGCACATCCTCATGGCAAAACCAATATAATAACGCATACACACACACACACACACACACACACACACACCAGAAAAGTTAAGAAAATACTTTCTTCACAAAGACTTGTTTAAAACAAAATTCCCCTCTTTCTGGAACTCAGGTGTTTGATGCCTATTGAGTGTTTTCTCGTTTTTCACATAAAATTGAAAGGCATTTCTAGCTTTCGTGGTTTCTAATGAGAAATTCCAAAATTTATCTCTGTTGTGGCTTGTATTTCTTCGGATTTTTCCACCTTGAGATTTGCTTAGCTTCTTGATTCTGTAGATTTATGTCCTCAATTATGACAAGTTTTCAGATATTATTTCTTCAAATATCTTTTTTTAGCCCCACATTTTCTCCTTGTCCTCCAGAACTCTGATTGTATGAATATTAGATTCTTTTTATTGTTCTACAAGCCCCTGAGATGCTGCTAATTTTTTAGGCTATTTTCTGCTCTTTCCAATTTGGAAATTATGTGGATCTACCCAAGTTCTCCAGTTTGTTCTCTGCCATTTTTGCTCTGTTGTAAAACTCATCCAACAAGTTTTTTTTTCTTTCATTTATTATGTTTAGTTCCCTAAATTCAATTCTTGTTTTATATTTTTGATAGATTTCAAATTTTTGTGTACTCATATTCTTCTGTATTTTTGCAATCTTAAAAGAAATACTTTGATTAAGTTCTTCCTCTCTTGCAAATTGTTACATTTTTATACTTTCAACATTTCCCCCAAACTATTCTGAGAATGAAGGTGAGATATTAGTAGGAGAAGCTGGTAAGATCACCATTTGCAAAATGTCAGATCAGTTTCTAAAGGTTCAAAATACTTGCCAGTATATTATGAACTAAAACATATATTTGTTTAACCTAATTTGGTACATTGTGTTTTCCAAAGATGCCATAGTAGCTCTCATACCATGTGTGCCTTGTGCAAAATTACTTTAACTGCTTCTCTTATTAAGAGTGGTCCACTTTGCTTCTTTTGAATATGGGTGAGATGATGGAGTGGTGTGGAGGTGACGTTATGTGACTAGTGAGGAAAAGTCCTAAGAGATGAGACAACTTCAGTCTTGTCCTCAGGAGACTCTTGCTCTTGGAAATCATCTTACATGCTCTGAAAAGGCCTATTAAAATAGCCCACATTTAAAGATTAGATAGAAAGAGTGTGTTCAGGTGTTCCAGTTCCACAGCCTATGGCATGGGAGCATCTGTCAACAAGCTTAATAATGGTAATTTCAGATGACTCTTGCTCCAGTGAACAAGTCACACCAGTTGTTGAGGTTTCTTTTAACTCATCAGCTTTGAATCTGAGACAGGCTGGCTTTACTGTACCCTTTCTAAATTCCTAACCCTCATAATCTGGGAGAATGTGCAATACAGTTGTTTTTAGACACTAAGTTTTAGGGTAGTATGTCATGTAGCAAGAATAAATGAGATACTCAGAATTTTCTGAGAACTCTTATTTTTTAAAACTGTAATAACTGTTAATGCACATCCTTTGGAATATTCAGGAATATACTGGTTTCCTGATTCACCTGATATTCAGCCCTCCATGGTCTGAAGTAAAATAATTCCAGCATTGGTTTACATTCGTGTGTTTGTGTGTTTCTGGAAAACTCTCCACTGGTCTTTATAGAAGTTTTGTTTTGTTTTGTTTTGTTTTTGTCTCTTTGAAGCAGGGTCTCCCTGTAGCCCCAGCTGTCCTGGAACTCACTATGTAGACCAGGCTGGCCTTGAACTCACAGAGATCTGCCTGCCTCTGCCTCCCAAGTGCTGGGACTACAGGTGTGTGCCACCACGCCTGGCTTTGTTTTGTTTTTTGAGACAGGGTCTCCTGTAATCTGGTCTTGAACTCCTGGTCCTCTTGCCTCCACCTCCCACATTTTGCTGTGATCACGGGCATGAACCACTACAGCTGGGTTTTTTTCCTTTTTTTTTTTTTTTTTTTTTTTTTTTTTTTAGGGTTTTTTTAAAAAGGCTCTTACACCATGTGGTCTTATCTGACCTTAAATTCACAATAATCCTTCCTCTGCCACTTAGATTCTGGAATTACAGTCATGCACTAGTGCACCAATTTATACTTTCCATCTTGGTATTCTTTGACTCTTCTAGAAAGTCCTTGTGTTTATTGGTTGTCTCTTGATTGGCCATTCTCTTTTGTAAAGCGCCCACTCAAATATTTTGCTTATTTTTTTTTAAATGGATTGTCTTACTAATCTGTAGAAGCCCTTTACATTGTCTGGAGATTTGATTGTTAGGAAAAATCTGTTTTGTAAATTTAGATACTGCATACAATGCAAAAACTATACATATTGGATTAAAGATATAGATTAGTGCTAGAGAAGTTGCCTAGAATTTGCAATACCCTGAGTTCAATCCCTAGCACCACAAAAATGTAATATACCAAGATATATATGTGTAAATATGTATATATGTATGTGTGTGTATATATATATAGAGAGAGAGAGAGAGAGAGAATATGAATGTGTAGCATTCTAGATACAAACCTGTACCCTAACAGCAGGCTTCTAATCAGAGCACCATATATATGTATGTACATGTTCTCCCACTGTGTGGTGGTTTTTCTTGCTCTCTTGGTGGTGTCTGTTGATGAATATAAGTTTTTAAGTCTAAAGGATGCATTTTAAAACTCTTCTTTTATGGTTAATATATACTACAACTTGTTTAAGTAGTCTTTAGTTATCCAAAGCTCAAAGGGTAGGTTCTAATATGCTTTAGACCATAAAGATGTGTTCTCCTGGCAACTTTATTTTCATATTTAAATCTAGAATGTACCTGGCATTATATAATGTTTTGGTACATTTGTTTTCCATATTGATAGCCAGTTGACCCTTGTTATTTATTTGAAAGACCAGCTTTTCCTTACTTCCATGGCTGTTTATTCATCTTGTTTTACTTATATTATGTCTGAATGTAAACTCACCTTGTGATAATTCTTCAAAATTGTCTTGGCTTCCACATTTCCATATGCATTTTAGAATGTTTTCCAATTTCCATAAGGAAAAAAGAACAGTGTTGATTTTGATTGCAATTTCACAAAAATTAAGAGTTGATTTTGTAATTTTTTTTTGCTCTTTTTGAGACAGGGTCTCCCTGTAGCCCAAGCTGTCCTGGAACTATGTAGACCAGGCTGGCCTTGAACTCACAGAGATCTGCCTGCCTCTGTCTCCCAAGTGCTGGGACTACAGGCCTGCGCCACCACGCCCAGCATGTGAATCTTCAAGTTCGTGAATGTGGTTTGTCCCCTCACTATTAATTTCTTCTGATAATATTCAGCAAACTACATAGCTTTGGAGGTTGAAGTCGTGTACATCATTTATTAGATTTATTTTTCATTTTATATTTATTTTTACTGAAGAAAGGTTTCACTCTGGAACTCAATGTATAGGTCAGGCTGGTCTCAAACACTTGACAGTCTCTTGCCTCAGCATCCTGATTACTGGGATGACAGGCATGAGCCATCACACCCAGCTATATTTTTTTTAATTGCTTGTTGCTGGTATATAGAAATATGCTTGATTTTTACATATTGACCTTTCAGTTAATAATTATCTTGTGTTCACTTACTATTTCAATAATGTACATGTCGATTCTTTTGGGTTTTCTGTGTTTGTAGTCACATTTGTGAATAAATCTTCCTATCTAATTCATATTCACTGGTTTCTCTTTTGTGTCTTAGTGGATTGGCTCAGCTCTTCAGGTACAGTGTAGAGCAGAAGTGTTGAAAGCAGTCCTCTTAACCGTAGAAAACAACCTCAGTACTCCATCCTTAGAGAATTGCTTTCTGTAGAGATTCTAAAAAATCTGTTATATGAAATATATACTGCATATATTTTATATTCATTAAAAAAAACATTCCTCTATTTCTCCTTCCCTACAAATTTTTGGATCATAATTTGGGGGTCTTATTCGTTTTCTATGCTGCTTAAGATTATTGTATGATTTTTCTCCTCTATTCTGTTCATGGGATTGATTTAAATGGACTAAAGTTTGACTATTTAACAACTTTTCACTTCTGATATCTTCACAACCTGCTTGTCACATGTTACCCTTTTGCATATCATTAGATTTGATCTGATAATATTCTGAATAGAGTTTCTTCAGCTGTGTTCAAGAAAAATTAGCTTATGATTTTCCTTTCTTAATGTTTGTCTGGTATTGATATCAAGGTTTGCTGGCTTCATATGAATTGAGAAGTGGTTCTTCATTTTCTCTTCCCTGGACATCTTGCCAAAGACTGTTATTTCTTCCTTAAGTGTTGACTCTTTCATCTAGACCAAGAATTATGAATTTGTTTTTGTTTGTTGAGTTGAGGTTTTGCTTGTAGCCCAGACTGGCTTCAAATTTATGGTCCTCTTACCTCTGCTGCCATACTATGAGTATAGGCACT